AAATAGTTAAATTTGTTCTTACGATATGCTTTTCTGGAATACATTCTTAATTTTTCTATTATTTTTATTTCTTTTCTGTTTTTCTTTTTCAACAATTACTTCTCTTATTTTTCCATTTGCTGATACTGATATGATCAGTGATAAAATGATGATATTAATTTAGACATCAACTGATCCCAATTGTAAAGATGTCACCGTGGTTGCATTTATTATTTATCCTGCTGCAGCAAATTCATTCAATGTGGAATCGTTGAAAGGTCAAGCAGTATGTAAGCAATTACATAATACAATATCGAGGATAAAGGAGAAGTTAGCATCCAGAATGTTCGAAGAATGTTTGAAGTTTGTTTATGCATTAAAAAATTTTTTTTACATTTATGCTAAGATAAGAGTGTTCTGATAAGAATGTAATGATTCTTGGATTATTTAGAGGGAATGATCGTGAAAAAAAAAAACATTATATCTTGCATGAAATATTTGCAAGGTCATTCTTAAAAGTTTCAAGAATATCTGTTTGCATGATATTTGTAAAAACGTCAAAAAGTTTCCATAATATTTTGAAAAATTTGGATCCTAGATTTATTTGATGTTTGCTACATGGATACTAGAATACTAGAATTGCCTTGGACATGATACTGGAATACTAGAATTTCCTGGATGTTCATTGGGAAAAGTTTGTCTTCTTTATGATGTTGCTTATTGTCAGATCTTATTCATTCTCTGAAACAAAAATGCTATACTCAATCATTTTATCATCGTTGTTTCGTCATTTTTTTTTTCGCTAATTAAATTATCTTGACTGAACAATAAGTAACTGTCCTGTTAAATGGAAACAGAGAAATTAAAATTTCTTTTTGGGGTTTATTCATATTTTAAAAATATTTATATGGAAGTATTTAGAGGTCGAATACCGGAAATGGAAGAATTGCTACTTCCGGATGAACGTATTCAATTAAAACGTTGTATATTAAGTGCAAAAGTAAGCTTACTTAAATAAATGATAAACTATTATTTTAATTGCATAAAAACAATTCAAAAAATATTTAAATTAAAACCTTACAATTAACTCAAATTCTTTTGCAAATTTTAAAATTAAATTCTAATTAGCATATTAATTTTGTCAATTACTGTTTGTTTGTTTTTTTTTTTTAAGCGTGATAATTTACCACCAATATGTACGCATAATATGCTTGATGATGCCTGTGATCCCGTATTAAATGCTTTCCGACGTACTCAACTTATAAATCAACCGTTTGATCGTGTTAAAGTATGTTATATTTTAATCAATTTTTCGTTTTAATATTTAATATTAATTGTTAATAATACATTTAAAGGTTTTCGTTTTACTATTTAATATTAATTGTTAGTAATACATTTGAAGGTAATATTCCATCCGGAATTTCTCTCATCTGTTTCACCATTAATGAATTTGGATTATGAAGATTTTGTTCGTGGTTGTCATATGGGTGTTTTTCCAAGTTACTATGAACCATGGGGTTATACACCAGGTATGATATTTGTTTTTTTTTGTTATCAATCAAAACATCTTACATTTGATAATCTTTTTGTTTTGTTTTTTGATTATTTAAAAAATGAATTATTTTTGAATGAATTTTAATTTGTTGAATAATTTTTTATAGCTGAATGTACGGTAATGGGTGTTCCATCAGTTACAACTAATCTATCAGGATTTGGATGTTTCATTCAGGAGCAAGTGCAAGATCCGCATACATTCGGGATTTTTGTTATTGATCGTCGATTCAAAGAACCAAATGAATCGATCGATGAACTTGCAAAAACTCTTTATGATTTCGCGTTAGTTTGACGTTTTAAATGTCAAACAATTTTTTTTAAGTGATTTTTTTTATTTTTTATTTGGTTTTGGTTGGTTGTTTTATTTGTTTCATTTAGAAATATGTAAGATTAATTGTTAGGGTAGTTTGAATTTTTTTTCCAATTTTCGAATTTTAATTGAATTCTAATTTTTGCTTTTATTTTGTTTATTATAAAGTTTA